TAAATTAAGATTTCTCTGAGGGCCTTTTCTGTATAAAACATCCCCTTTAGGAGGAGCTTTTTCGGTAACTGGTTTGCCAGGAATAAGAGCTGGTTCCAGTTCATCCGAGGCTGGTTTGCTCAGATGCTGAGTCAGCAGAAAATCTGACGTCTGAGCACCGAAAAGAGAGATTTACGAAATTTAAGAGTATTTTTAATCAGTCCACACATTTTATCTGTGTAAAAATGGGCTTATTTTGAGTGAGACTTGGCAAGCAGATGTTGTTCTTATTTTAAATAACGTCTACTTCCTTTTTTTTTTATTTTTCATTAAGACTTTTTGCCCTCTCAGACTCGGATTGTAACAGAAAAGTACAGAGTTGGAAAAAGCGGCCGCTTTAACGTCTAGCTTTAGTATTTCTCTATTCGCTTGTTTTATGAGGGAAGTGTGAATTAAGGCTGTGAAACGCTCCGTTTGTGGTCCGATTAAACGTCAGAAATATTTCCCCTTCTCACCCATCGCTTTACAGTAAGGTGAAGAGAACCATGACTCAGCGTTTTCCTCCCCACCAGCTGCAGCTTTACTCTGAACCCTGAACCTCCGTCTCAGTCCGAACGAACCACTGGACGGTTTTCTAAACCGGTTATGGGATTTTTGTTGGAAACGCGTGGATTTCCAACTCCGCCCACATCCAAGTCGGCCATTTTGATTAGCTCATGTGACTAGCAGCTTTCTGAGGTGGAAACGAAACTTTATTGTCAAGAAATCGGAAGACAAACGATGTCCTAACCCTAACCCTAACCCTAACCCTGACCATAACCATAACCCTGACCCTAAACCTAACCCTGACTATAACAATAACCCTGACCCTAAACCTAACCCTGACCCTAACCCTGGCCCTAACCATAACCATAACCCTGACCCTAAACCTAACCCTAAACCTGACACTGACCCTGACCCTAACCCTAACCCTGACCCTCCACTCTTCATAATTGTGAGAAATAAATATTTTTTGGTTAAACTTGTTTGGACTTATTGTACAAACCTATTTAACATCCACTATTTTAACATAATATTATGTATAGAGTTGAATTCAGTGTTTGCAAGATGAATTTCACTATTTTTAAATGAATGTCTATATTGCCATGAAGCTTTTAGGATTTTCTTGCCTGGGATCTTCCTATTGGTGACCTAATCAAAATGGCCGACTTGGATGTGGGCGGGGTTTGATATCCATCCTTGGCTTCCTGCAGTCTGTGGGGGCTCCTGTGAGCTGGGGTGGGGGGGGGGGGTGTAGTTTGACCCGTTGGCCAGCAGAGGGCGGTGCGGCTGCAGGATGAAGGAAACAGGAAGTCCGTCTTTTTCACGCCGCCTCTGATCCAGTGACCACGATAAATAGATTAAAATAGTTTTCATACCAACAGAAAACTGGATTCCCAATTAGGAAACTGCCCATTTCTGCTCTGATTGGATTAGAGACCAACCTCCTATGAACTCACACTGAAGCGGATGAGCTAAAATGATATGTCATTTTCTAAAATACAGTTTAAAGACTGCAGTGATTTTCTCTTTTCTCAATTTTCTTAATAAAGTTGAGAGAATCACTGATTTAAATGCTACAACATGGAATCACAGTAATAACTAGTGAGTCAAAATCATTTCCATGAAAATTTGTTGGCAGATTCTCCAAATCTACAAAACTCCTATGACTGTCCAAAGTTGTATTCATTAATTTATTTTTCATCTGACCTACTTGTGTCTTTAGAAAAGTAGAATTAAACGAAAATGCATCAGAGTAATCATTATTTCCTGTTTTTTTTTTTTATGAAATTGGCTTGATTTGGGTCACTTCAGCTGGAAAAAGCAGCATACAGCATTATTTTTCTTCTTCTTTTGGCCTTTCTTAGCTCCTCCATAAGTCCAAAAGCAGAGCTGTGGGTAGAAACTGGGTTTTTCATTTCAGAGACCTTTTTTCCAGGTGTTAAAATGATGAAATGGCCTCTCTCCTCAGACATGAAAACGACGTGCAGCACTTCAAAGTGATGCGGGACAACAAAGGCCAGTACTTCCTGTGGTCTGAGAAGTTCACCTCCCTCAACAAGCTGGTGGAGTTCTACAAGAGCAACTCCATCTCCAAAACCAGGCAGATCTACCTGAACGACGGCACCCAGGTAGAGGGTTTACTGCCCATCTCTATACTTAGAAACGGAAAAGCAGATAGATAGATAGATAGATAGATAGATAGATAGATAGATATCTGAGTCCACTTTTTATGTGTTCAGATGGACCTAAATTCCTTTTGGAAACCGTTAAACCTGTTCTGGGTTAAGAGTCTGTGTTTTTGGAGGGGCACCCCCCTCTCCAGGTGGCCTGGTTTCCAGGGACTGTTTTACATAGCGAGAGCATGTCAAACCACTTCCTGTTTCACGGAAGAGGAAGAGTCTAGATGCTTAACATCTAGCTAGCAAATCCGCTCCTTATGTCCACAAATTAGACATCACAATGCTGCTTTTGATTCGCCCTCTGTGTTCTGTTTGGGGTCTTTTCAGGGTCCCACAGGCTTGTGTTTGTTTACTAATTAATTCATTGGTTGCCAAAGACATCTATAGACGTCTTTTATGTTTTTCAACGAGAGTGGCTTGGGGACGATCTGCTAAAGCTTGTCCGTAAATATCAGGCTTCTAGACAGAGTATGTAGTAACAAATTGACCCTCTAGGTGGCAGTGCCACTTTTGATGGGAGATGAGCATAGACTGTAGGCAAATAAGAAAAAGGTAACGGTTCGATATGAGAGAACATGTCGCCGCTCATCAAAGACACTTCTCTGCTTGAACTGTATCTTTTCACAAAAAGCTTGTTTTCTCCATTTATTGGTCAAAAACTGGTGTTTTTGTTGAAACCAACCTATTTCTACTGCTGATTACTAAAGAATGGAATAAGGCAGAACATTTTGTTTTTCCTGATGAAAGAAGAGAGTCTACTCTTTCTTTTGGTGTGTTCGGTGTTTACATAGTCATAGCACAAACTATTCTGTGGCTCTTGAAAAATCAAAATGCTCAAAAAACTCTGGCAGTATGGGACTCTGTTCTGAAAATGGCTGGCAGTCAATGAGTTAATGAGGTTAAATCCCTGGGTTGGTTTTTACAGTTTCAGAGCTCTTTTTGTTTAGCTTTCTGACAGAAAAACCACCCGACGTGGGAATGGTTTGGTTTTTGTAGGTGTATAAATAGAGACGGGAGCTGTTTGTTGGTTTCTCTGCTGTTATCTGCTTCCTGTCTGTTTCCAGGTGAAGCCCGTTTCCCAGAGGGGGAGTCTGCCCGAGGTGCTAGGCTGCGCCCCCCCCGCCGCCCCGACCCACCGACGGTTCTCAGACCAGACCCACAACCAGACCCAGACCCACACCCAGACCCAGGGCCAGACCCATGCCCAGACCCAGGCCCAGACCCGGGCGTCCACCATCGGCCACACGGGCAGAAACAGCCCCATCAGCTCCGCCTTCCCCCCCCCCCCCCCCCCCCGCCCCCATCCCCCCCCCCCAGGTAGGCCCCCGTCTCAGGTATCCCTCCCCCCTCCGGAGTAAACCTGTAGGAGCCTGTAGGAGCCTCGGTTGGATGTCCGACTCCGCACACATCCATGTCGGCCATTTTGATTAGGTCATTAGGTCATGTGACTAGCAGCTTTCTGAGGTGGAGACGAAACTTTACTGTCTATACGAGATCGGAAGATAAACGATGTTCTAACCCTAAACCTGACTCTGACCCTAACCCTTACCCTAACCCTGACCCTAAACTTAAACCTGACTCTGACCCTGACCCTAACCCTGACCCTAACCCTAACCCTAAACCTAAACTTAAACCTGACCCTAACCCTGACTCTGACCATGACCCTAACTCTCCACCCATTATTATGTATAGAGTTTAATTCAGTGTTTGCCAGATTCATTTTACTATTTTTAAATTAATGTCTATATTGCGATGAAGCAATTAGTATTTTCTTTCCTGGGATCTTCATATTGGTGACCTAATCAAAATGGCCGACTTGGATGTGGGCGGAGTTGGATATGTACTTGATTGGTAGCATGTTATTATTAGACATTAGCCGCAGCTAGCAAGGCTAACGTCTTGTTAATGATCATAAACAACGTAAATAAATACATAAATAAATCAGAGAGAAGGGGTGGTGGTATCGATACTTTTGAAAATGAGTATCGTATCCGGACACAACGTTTTAGTATCGATACTTTTTCGAGTATCGATACTTTTGACAACCCTACCAGAAAGACATTTAATTTTCAGTATTCACTATTCTGCCCCCCCCCAGAGGCCGGGCCGAGAGATTGCAGGAATATTAAAAAAAAAAGTCTAATCAACCAAAAACCCCATGCAGTACCTCCATGAGCCCCTAGGGGGCGCAGACCCCCTGAATATGAGAGGAAAACAGACTTTTAGGGCATCTTCAGGTCAATGAGACCTACATGTAGCAGAGTGGGGGGGTCCTCTGCCCCCCCCAGGATCTGACCGGTCTGTTCCCCCCCCCCCCCAACTGGGTGGAGTTGGATATGTACTTGATTGGTAGCATGTTATTATTAGCCATTAGCCGCAGCTAGCAAGGCTAACGTTTTGTTGATGATCATAAACAATGTAAATAAATGCATAAATAAATCAGAGAAGGGGGGGTGGTGGTATTGATTGATACTTTTTCGAGTATCGCTACTTTTGACAACCCTACCAGAAAGACATTTAATTCTCAGTATTCCCCCCCCCCCCCCCCCCCCCCCCCCCCCCCCCCCCAGCCTGGGCGGCGGCGTGCTGAAGGTGCGGGCGCTGTACGACTTTGCGGCGGAGGAGGAGGACGAGCTGGGCTTCAGCGCCGGGGACCTGATCGAGGTGCTGGACCACTCCGACGCGTCCTGGTGGACCGGCCGGCTCCGGGGCCGCAGCGGCCTGTTCCCCGCCAACTACACCA